AAACTTTATCATTTTTAAAAGAAGTCATATTCCCTTATATGACTCAAAGTTATACTCTAAATCCAAATTTCATTCACTATTCAAGTGACCATAATGCAATATCATTCAAGGTTTTCAAGCATCTTTAAGACAAAATTTTAAATAGAAATTCAAGAGAAAAGGAAAAAGTCAATGAGGTTTGAAGATGTGAATTCTAAATTGAAAGAAGAGAAATGATTGAAGAGGATATCATTACATCAAAGGTCACCGTTTACATTACCATTTCGAATACATCACAAATATCAAAAAGATTACATCAAGCCATTTACACCACAAACCTATCCTGGGTATAATCTCTAATGTGACCCCATGCCCCCAAAACTTTCTTAATATCAAAGCTTCCATCATCATGGCTAACCTTTCAACTTCATTCTCTTCACGTTGCAATTCTCTGCATTCCAAGTTCACGGCCTGCACATTCATACAAAAAAAAATCCAAGTCAATACAAGAAATCGTGCCAAAAGAATAGGTCCACATCATCCAACTTCATCTTTCTTATTCTAACTCTCACACTCCATGCCCCATAACAACTACTTGCCCCATTCTCTTTCTTCAATAACACACGACACACTCTCTATAATGAATATAGGGATAGTACTAATGGTGTTAGTTTTGAGTTCTGGAATTGGAAGTGCACAACAAGTACTGTGATACGGTGGGAGAGAACTGACTGTTTTGGTATATGCTGGTTCTTGTTTTGCGTTTGTTTTCGCAAAATATCGAGGTAAGCAAGAGTCGCCACCGTCTTTTATTTTATCCAACAAGGAAAGGAAAAAAGCACAGAAAAATTCCTTTTTCGAGATGTTTCTCGGGTTCGGGAGGTAGATTATAGAAAGGGAAGGTGTTATCACCCTTTCTATCCGTGGTTATCCACGGGATCTTAGGTACTTGCTCAAAGTTTTTTCAAAATTTGCTTTTCTTTGTGTTTGTGGGTTTGAAAGAAGTTTTTGTTTGAAAGGTGTAAGTGCGAAAAGTTTTTATTTTGTTTTGAAAGAGCAAGTACTTAAGAATCATCTACCTACTCGAAAAGGGAATCGTTCTATGTTATCTTCCTTAGACAATGCTATCCCACTATGAATGAGTAGGTAGCATCGTCGTTGGAGTTTTAAGGGTCAATTCTATTAAGGGACGTGCGGTCACTAAAGCAATGTTAGGACGCCTTAGTGGTAACCCTAATGTCTTAGATAATTTTTCCGAGGCAACCGTTTCGAGGCAACTATGATCTTTGGACAAGAGGGAGACCTCTAAAACTTCCTACACTCAATGACCACGTACGAAGGCAACCAAGTGAGGTGTACCCTAAGAGTGCGCATGTGCGAGTGTGTTGTTTTCAGTTAATTTTGTCTTTGTACATGTCAACGGTTATCTATGTTGATTTTAGGTTTAACATTCGATCCTGTCATGCATTCCCTATTATCAAACATCTAACAGTTTATAAGTTGCGGAAATTAAATTGCAGAATTTAAACTAACTATTACAAGGCGTCGGGTATTTACATCGCCAAAAATAACCCTTGGAATTAAAATGCGGAATATAAATAAAGCGATAAAAAATATTTAAAGTCCTATTAAACTATTACATTCCGGAAACAGATACAATATTGAATAAAATGGATCACGTGCGAGAAATTAAATCGGGCTCAAGTTTTTTAGGGTTTTGACCCTTTTTGAAAGAAATTTTTTTTTGGTTATTTTGAATTTATGGAAAAAATTAAATTAAGTTAAGCATTAAATTAACAAATTAATTAATTAATTAATAAAAATGATATTTTTGGATTTTTGATATTTAAAGAAATAAAAATAATTTGATCAATGTTAATAAAACCTAATTATCTAAGTTAATTTTAATTATTGCAAGAATATTAAGTAATTCCTAATTAAAACTAAATTGATTAAATTAATACTATTAACAAAACTAAAAGAAAATGCTGAAATTTAATTTTAATAAATAAAATATTTTTTTTGGTTTTTAATTTTATTAAGAAAAAGTTTTAATTGGTTAGTTAAAAAAAATAATAACAATAATTAATTAAAAGAAATAATAAAAAAATAGAGAGAGTTTAGGGTTTGGGCCTGATTTTGGGAGGTTTTGATAGCAATTTCCAAGGCCCATTTGTGCAAGCCTGTGTTGACCTTCTTGATTCTCTATGCGTTGGTTGACTAGATCCCACCATAGGCCTTCATTCTGGATCACCAAATCTGGCCTGGGGCCATCTGGCAAGTAGTTGAGTGAGGGAGCATGATGTACCACGCAATTGGATCACCACTGAATAACCTGTTGAAAAATAATAATATGCATTTGAGGGACCTGGGATTCGAACCCAGGTCCTGTTGATCATTGGACAACGCTTCCACCACTCAACCAACGCGTTTTTATTGTTAGTGTATTAGGAATAAAATATAATATGGGAAAACAAATAAAATGCCAGAAAATATTAAAAAAAACACGCGCCAAGTTTGAATCAGCCAACCAGGGGGAGACGCGTCATCATCTTCTTCCTTCAACCCTGGATATTTACCTGCGGATTTATGTTCGCAGCTAAATTCGCATGTGCGTCCTAAAATCGATTCTAGTCCCTGGAAATTGATTCCAAGCACATGGTCATGCTCGTCTACCTCCCCTGGTTACATCCATGTCCATCAATAGGGCTGATTTTGCCTGAAAAAGAAACGCCCAAAAAAACGATACACGAACCCTAGATTCGGCTATGGGGTTACAGGCCATATTAATGCAATCAAATAATGCAGAAAGCTTGTAAATTGAACAAGGATTATGAATATGCCCATAATTTATGCCAAAGATGCAAGAAATAGGAGTTACGAATTTGAATACAGGGCGGTACTTTGAGATACTTACAGCGCGATTGAGAGGGTGTGAGAGCTTGCTTTTGATTGCAGGAGGTTCAGTGGATACCCAGCAATGGATTGGTGTTGAGATTTGCCCTTGAAAACGCCTCTAAGAAGGATTTCAGTTTCACACTTTTTGGCAATTTTTCAAGTTTTGCTTTTGGTGTTCTTGCAGTCTCTAGCCCTTTAATTCGTGTGCTTTGCATTGTATATGTATGTTGCATTGTATTAGGTCAACAATCTGGTCTTGAATCTTTGCATATTGATGTCTTGAGATTTGATTTGATCCACCATTGAAAGCTTTCCAATTTTGCCAAAAATCCAATCTTTTTGCACATGGATAGTTTGATACGAATTTGATACACTTGATGATGATGATGATTAGGTCCCGAAATATCCAAAAAGAGATCAAATAATCAATGTTGGGATTTTATTTGATTTAAATTGATTTAAAATGAAATAATTCATTAAAAAATCAAATTAAATAATAAAATTGATAAATGGTCACAAGTCTGAATCTAGGACACGTGTGTAGTGTGACAAGATCAAATCAAGTGGAAAGCAATGGGCCCATTTGACAAAATTTTAAGTTTTGGGGATAGTTGACTTTTGGCAAATTTACAAAAATGCCCAACTTCAACAATGCATAACTTCTTCAATTTTGAACTTTTGGAGGTGTTCTTGGACTTTTTAGAAATCTTGAGATGTCCTCTAACCAATCCTTTTGGTCTCATCTCATTTTGATATTACGTGCTCAAGTTATAAGCTTTGGCTAAAAAGGTGTTTTTGTTGAATTTCAAAAATGACCTATAATGTCTAAATTTGTAACTTCTTGTGAGTGCATTTATTGATATTTGGGTATGAAGATGGATTGCAGGAAATTGAATCCTATTCAACATGAGCTTTGGATGGGTCATTTCTCATAAAGTACGAGAAAGTTATGCTTGGTCAAAGTTGAGTTGACTTTTCTTGCAAAACCCTAATTTAGCAACTTTTGAGTCTTGATGAATTTTGAGCAATCCTTGATGAATCATGATCAACCATTGATCAAATGATGAAATATACTTCAAAATGATAATGTTGGCAAAAAATCTTGAAGTTTGACTGTATTTTTGTCACAGTTGACATTTGCCCTAGCACAATCGATTTTTGGACCCTTTGAGCCATTGACTGAGCAAACTTCCTCTGCAAGGCTTGAAATTTGACATGGATGAACTTGAGAACATATTAGGACATTGGGGAGAACTTGAGGTCATTTGGATGCAAGGACCTTGATGCAACACAAAACCCTAATTTGAGGTTGACTGCCTTAGGAGATAACTTGACTGTCCAACTCTTGAGCAATCTTGAGCCACTTGGAGATTTTTCTTGCAATGTTTTGAGAAATATGAGAGGGAAAATTTTGGGGTACAACAAGTACCTTTCTATTTTATATTTGGAGACTCTTTGGTTGATAATGGTAACAACAACCAACTCACTTTAATTGCAAAAGCTAATTATGCGCCTTACGAAATTGACTTTCCTGGCGGACCAACTGGAAGATGTTCTAATGGAAAAAATTCTATTGATGTAATTTCTGAGCAATTGGGATTCAAAGGTCACATATCTTTGTATGCATCGGCTAGAGGCCGAGACATACTAAGAGGAGTCAATTATGCTTCGGCAACTGCTGAAATTAGAGAGTAAACTGGACAACAATTGGGACAAAGAATTAGTTTTAGAGGTTAAGTGGTAAATTACCAAAGGACAGTGTCTCAGTTAGTAAATAATTTTGGAGATAAGAATACCACTGCAAATTATCTAAGAAAATGCATTTATACAAATAGATTGGGAAGTAATGATTACCTTAACAACAATTTGATGCCTCAAATCTATTCTAGTAATAGACAATTCACACCACAGCAGTATGCTAATGTTCTTATTCAAGCATACGCTTAACAACTCAGGATTCTATATAACTATGGAGCAAGGAAAATGGAATTATTTGGAGTTGGTCAAATAGGTTGCAGTCCAAGTGAATTTGCTCAAAACAGCCCAGATGGTAAAACATGTGTAGCTAGAATCAATTCTGCAAATCAGTCATTCAATAATGGAATTCAATAACCAATTTCCTGATGCAAGATTCATCTATAACCCATCAGACTATGGTTTCAGTGTCAAATGCTGAGCGGAATAAATCTTCCATACCTTTGCTTCAAGCTTCCAGCATTGCTACTCCAAAGAAGGCTGATAACGGGTCTTCCAAATCTTCGCATAATCTCAGCTCTTCTCAAAACCAAGTTTTTGCTCATAAGAGGAAGATGACATCTTCAGTTGAAAATTCCAAGACTACTCCAAAAATATCTTATTGCAGCTGCCCAGGCAAAGTGGAAAAAGGCTCATTATTAGTATCTTTCTTCTGATAATCATAACGTCCAGGAGGGAACTCCTAGCCCATCCACAATTCAGCCCTGCACAGAAAGTAACAAATCAACTATTAATTCACAACAAACACTGACTAAACTCGTCTCCAATTGATTCTGCATAATAGAAAGGCCAAAAAAATCAAAGCCTAACTGTAACAAGCTTCTAACTAAAATTGACAGCATTTAACAGAAAACCCTGCATAATATCAAAAAATAATCCCAAGGCTGAGTTACTAGTATCCAGCTCCCAACTTCCATCCAGAATTTCAAAAATCACAACTGAACTATAAGGGAAACTCAGCAAGTCTGAAAGGGAATTTACCAATGAAGAAAAATCATGATCATAGGAAAATAAATTCAGAAACCAAACAGAAACTTCCAACCAAAATTCCAACTCATGAATATCCTAAACAGAACCCAAACTCAACAGCCTGTTTTTTTAGCTCACCCAAGTGTCCAACTAAATCTAACCACATTTCCTAACAAAAAAACAAACTCTCTAACTGACAACTGATTCCCAGAACTAATTTCTAACATTTTTCTAACTAACTCTAACCATATCCTAACAGTTTATAACTCCTAACCAATTCTGCAACTAACTTCCTAATAGCAGCAACAAAATTATATAACTAACTCCCTCAATCCAATGAAAAGGGGCTCAAGCTGTAACCAACTTTATAACTGTTTTCATTCACAACTTTCTCTATATAATAGAAATTCATAGGGATATCATAATTCAGTTTTCAGATTCATGATTTATTATTCAACACAAAAAAACTCACCTTCCAATTCTCCCTGAAATCACATAATCATCAATATTGCTTCATCATCTTCTGAAATTTCTTTACAATTCTTACTCTTCTCTGCAACTTCAAATTCTCCCTGCACAATCATCATCTCTACTCCATAACTGATTCATCATCTACCTCAACAACAAATCCTCAACATCTCCTTCATTCTATAACAACAACAACATTAACACTATGCACAAGAATAACGTAAGAAAAATAGCAGACTCAGAAGAAAAAGACGAAGAGGTGATATGCATAAGGAGAAGAAAATGAGCGCGGAGAGAGGGGATGGATACCTCTCAATTTTATTCATCTCCATCAGAGAAGCAAAGACGGAAATGAGTCAGAGCGGAATCCAAAGATTGGAGCAGAGTCACGAAAGCATCAAAGCCAATCAACGAATGACATCCTCGTTTAGTTTGACTTCAATCAGAGAAGAAGTTCTCAAAGCAGTCACATCGATTCTTGATCACATGTGAGCGGAGAGGAACGAGACGTCGACGACGTTGAGTGATAAAGAAGACTGAGACGATGCGAGAATAGAAAAGGTGGAGCCAACCCGATCGCGTTGATCAGAGAAGATGAGAATTGCGTCTATGTATTGAGAAGAAGGAGAAGAGGCACGGTTGCCTGCGTTGGCCTCTCATGGCAGTGAATTGAATCGATGAAGAAGCAGTACATCATTGCGCCGCAGATTGAGGGAGGAAGAAATATACTGTGAGGAGAAGTTCAACTATCACAAACTTGGAACCCTAACGCCAATCTTCCCCAAAATGACACCGTGTTCCCTTGTTTTTTTTAATTAATTTTATTTTATTTTAATCTTTATTGTCATTGCATTATGCTGAAGGATGAGATAGAGTTGGAGTTGGAGAATGGGCCGAATTCGACTAGGCCCACCACCACTATTTTTTGGAAACTGAAGCTGGTTCAACAAAAATATGGCTTACTGATTTATCTCCTATGGGCCTAGCAGCATGCACCCTAATCCAGATTTTAACACCTCTTTGTTTTAGATTTAATTGTTTTTTCTCCTTATTATATTCTTCTCATAACTTTGATGATAAAAGAGATACAAAAATAGTAGAGATTCTTATTGATATTAGAAATTCTCTTTAGATGTTTAATTAGAGTTTTCTATTATTTTCATGTTCGATGATCATTTTCATTGTCATTTTTTTAGCTAGGATTTTGTGATATTACATTGATGAAATCTCTTCGCAATTGGGAATATTTGGAGATCAATTTTTGATTACTCATATGGAGAAACTTCTGTAGAGTTCTCTTATCGCTTGCGTGGCTCTAAAAAGAGGAAACAGACCTCCTCTGTTTGGTATCATCACAATTCTATTTTGTTCTTCATTTCCGTACTTTACCGCCATCCATACGCATGCTAACATCAGGTAGAATCCCTTTGAAATTATAACTTAAGGTCTAACAACGCATGATAAAATTAGGCTTAGAAATAGGCTAGTCTCCCTGTGACTTTTCTTCCCCGTTTGCATATGCATCTAAAACAAAAACTTTTTCTTCTTACAAAATTCAAAAAAAAAACTTAAAAAATTGCTGACGAGAATCGCGTCTTTGTTGAACATGGGAGATGATAAGCGGGTCTCTTCTCGATCTTATCGTTCTCTAATTCTAAGCCTTGGCATGGTTTAAATCTCAAAGAATCATTTCATGAATAAGTGGAGAGATGACTAAAATCTCTCTCTTGAGATTACCTAGTTATTATCTACAAGAAAAAACACCAACAAGCATAAAACTCATTTTGCCTTTGGGCTTTCCTTTCAAAAACTTTTTTTCTAGAAAGAACAAGTTAATTCACTTCTTTGCGGACATGTAAATCTCCAAAGGTCGAGTGTAGGCAGAAGGAGATATTAATATCATTCATTACAAACACAAACAAATTCAAATTTTTGTGCGCCCAAGCACATTTTCTCCAAAACTCTTTTCAGAAAGAATATGTTAATTCACTTCTGTGCTGACGCGTAAGTCTCCAAAGGTCGAGTCACAGAAGAAGGCGAAATTAGTACTGTTCATTAAAAAATACAAACCAACAAAAACATAAGCCGAACTACGGCTGCTCTGATTCCTTAAAAGGAATACGTAGGCATCGGGGTAGGGCCCGAACGAGCACAACTTTCAATTTTCCCTACATTCTTTTCTCATTTTTTTGCATGCATTCTCCCTTTAGCAGTAATAAACAGTAATCATAGATTAAACACACCCATAAGATAGATAATAAGAGTGGATACCGTAGAGTACTATGGGCGTGTGGGGTGCTAATACCTTCCCCTCGCGTAACAGACTCCCTTACCCTTATCTCTTGGTCATTCGACCTTGATTTCTCCCTTTTTAGGTTCTCTAGATGTTTACCTTTCCCTACATGTTGGATAAAAGACGTTCGATGGCGACTTTATTGTTTGATGATTTTCAGTTGGTTATTTCACATACCGACAAATAAGGTTATGCTTAATGAATTGGGCCACAACATTCTTAGCAACGGAGGTAAATGAAGCTGCTTCTACCCACTTGGTGAAATAATCAATAGCGATAAGGATGAAGCGATGCCCATTAGAAGTAGTAGGCTTAATCTCTCCAATCATATCAATGCCACACATTGCAAACGGCCAAGGAGCAGTTAAGACATTCAGGGGAACCAGAGGCAGATGTACTTTGACACCATAAATCTGGCATTTATGACAAGTTCTAGAGTGATGACGGCAATCAGTTTCCATAGTCGAACAATAATAACCCGCTCTCAGAATCTTCTTAGCCATTGTATGCCTACTGGAGTGAGTACCAAAGATACCTCCGTGCATATCTTCCATAATCTTCTCCGCTTCCTTCTTCTCTACACAACGAAGCAAAGTTGAATCGTCATTGCGCTTGTACAAAATTTCGTCGCTCAGAAAGAACTTGGCAGAGAAGCTCCGTAGAAATTTCTTGTGGTTGATGTATGCTTCTTCAGGATACTCTTGAGCCTCAAGGTATCTTTTCACTTCATGAAACCTAGGTTTTTGCTCTACTCCATTAGTGTCAACTTCGTAGCAATGTGCCAGATCATCTAGCCTCTCAATGGTAATTCGAGGAGCTTCGTTGTCCCATCCGACTTTGAACATAGATGACATGGTAGCTAATGTGTCTGCCAATTGATTCTCTTCTTGTGGAATATGTTAGAAAGTGATTTCCTCGAAGTACGGAACTAATGTCAACACCTGCTCTTGATAAGGAATGAGATTTGGGTGCTTTGTATCCTATTCTCCTTTAGTCTGACTGATTACCAGGGATGGGTCCCCGTATACATTCAAGAATTTGATCGTCGTATCAATAGAAGCTTTGATACCCATGATGCACGCTTCGTATTTGGCCTTTTTGTTGGTACAGTCAAAGCAAAGTCTAGCAGTAAATGGCGCATGGCAACCTTTAGGAGAGACAATCACATCACCAATTCTATTACCAAGTGTGTTGGAAGCTCCATCAAAAACCATAGTCCATTAGGATCCTGGCTCAGGTCTTTCATATGGTCCAAGTTCTTTATAATCTGTAACTAGCATGATATTCTCATCCGGGAACTCAAAATTCATATATTGATAGTCATCTACAGCTTGATGAGCCAAATGATCTGCCGGTACACTTCCTTTGATTGCCTTCTGAATGGTATACTGAATGTCGTATTCTGTTAATACCATTTTACATATGGCTATCCTTCTGGAGAGAGCAATTTTCTCGAATATGTATTCTATAGGGTCCATCTTAGAGATAAACAAGGTAGTATAGGTCAAAATATATTGTCTCAGTCGGCGAGCAACCCATGCTAAAGTGCAGCAAGTTTTCTCGAGTAGTAAGTATCTTGTTTCAAAGTCGGTAAACTTTTTGCTAAGGTAGTATATTGCATGCTCTTTTCGACCAGACTCGTCATGTTGCCCCAATACATGCCCTATTGAGTTTTCTAACACTATTAGGTACATGATCAGAGATCTTCCCTCAACTAGTGACATCAGGATTGGAGGTTCTTGGAGGTACTCCTTGATTTTGTCAAAGGCTATCTGGAAATCACCGTTCCATTTCACTACCTGATCTTTCTTCAGCAACTTGAAGATCGGATCACAAGTGGCGGTCAAATGAGAAATAAATATGGTAATATAGTTCAGTCGGCCCAATAAACCTCTGACTTCCTTCTCAGTACGGGGAGTCAAAATTTCTTGAATGGCTTTAACCTTGGCGGGGTCAACTTCAATACCTTTACCAGTGATGATGAAACCTAGGAGTTTATCGAATCTTACCCCAAGAGTGCACTTGTTTGGATTCAGCCTCAGCTTGTACTTTTCCAGTCTCTCAAACAGCTTGTGCAGGTGGTCAAGATGCTCTTCTTCAGTTTGAGACCTGGTTATCATGACATCAATATTGACCTCTATCTCATGATGAATCATGTTATGGAACAAAGCTACCATAGTATTCTGGTATGTTGCGCCACGTGTTCTTAAAACCAAAAGGCATAACCTTGTAGTAGAAAGTGCCCCACTGTGTGATGAAAGTAGTTTTCTCCATGTCTTCAGGTGAAATCTTGATCTGATTATAACCCGATAAACCATCCATGAAGGAAAATACTTTGTGTTGTACGGTGTTGTCAACCAGAACGTCAATATGTGGAAGCGGAAATTCATCTTTTGGGATTGCCCTATTCAGATCCCTGTAGTCTATACACATACGGACTTTGACATCCTTCTTAGGTACTGGCACCACAGTTAAAACCCACTGAGGATAGGATGTAACATATAAGAAACCAGCATTGAATTTCTTCATGACCTCGGCGTTGACTTTTCAGACATCTCAGGATGCATCTGACGAACCTTCTGCTTTATTGGAGAATAACCTTCTTTCATTGGTAGATGGTGAACCATAATATCAGTATTGAGTCATGGCATGTCTTCGTACGACCAAGCAAAGATCTCAACATAATCATGCAACATCTGGATTAACATGTTCTTCACACTGTCCTCTAGGTTGACACCTATGTTGACTTCTTTCCTGTCATTTTCAGTATCCAAGTTCACAACCAGGACTGGCTCTTCATGCGGTTGTATGGCCTTTTCCTCTTGCACTAACAGTCTGGCAAGTTCTCCAAGTATTTCATAATCTTCCTCACCTTCGTCCCCAGCTTGGTAGATCGTGTTTTCAAAGTCATAAGTGGTAATAGCAGAATTATTATCAATGGGATCCATAGTGGACATGATCTGCAATTTGTTGTGTGGGTGTGTGTAAGAACACATAGATATTTTAGAAGTAATAAAGTAAAATAAATACAAAGAGCGCAAAAATTTGAATGCAAACGTCCAATGATTTATTGAATGAAAATATGCTAATGAAATGACAATCCTAACAAATGGACTGTTATGCCCCAGGCAAGGCAGAAGGCTTAAAGTTACTGTCTTAAAATTACATAACCAAACTTGAAAGCAAAAAGAAGAAAAAA